TCATATAAATGAATAAAAATGTAAGAAAGAAGTAGAAAAATGAGAAAAATGAAAGGAAGAAGAAATGTTAGGAGCAAATAATGAAATGGAAGGAAAGGAAAGAGATTGAACAGAAATATAAAATGGAATAGAAGGCAAGGAAAGACAAAGGGTAGGAGCAAATAAGGAAAAGAAAGGAAATTGGACAGGAGCAAATAATGAAATGGAAGCAAAGGAAAGAGAAAGGGTAGAAGCAAATAATGAAATGGAATGAAAGGAAGGAAATTGGACAGGAGAAAATAATGAAATGGAAGGAAATGAAAAGGAAAGGTTAGGAGCAAATAATGAAATGGAAGCAAAGGAAAGAGAAAGTGTAGGTGCAAATAATGAAAAGGAATGAAAGGAAAGAGATTGGACAGAAACATAAAATGGAATAGAAGCTAAGGAAAGAGAAATGGTAGGAGCAAATAATGAAAAGAAAGGAAATTGGACAGGAGCAAATAATGCAATGGAAGCAAAGGTAAAGAAAAGGTTAGGAGCAAATAATGAAAGGAAGGAAAGGAAAGACAAAGGGTAGGAACAAATAAGGAAATGAAAGGAAACATTAGAAAGGACTGAAGCAAATAATGAAATAGAAAGAAATTGGGCAGGAACCAATAATAAAACATTGTTGGGCAAACATTGAAATAGAAGGAACTGAATGAGAAAAGGATGAAGCAAATAATGAAAATGTGGGATAGAAAAGGAGCAAATAATGAAATGAAAGGTAAGGAAAGAGGAAGGATAGGAGCAAACACTGAAATGGAAAGAAATGAATGAAAAAGGGCAGGTGCAAATAAGGAAATGGAAGGAAAGGAACGAAATCGGACAGGAGCAAATAATGAAATGGAAGAAAAATAAAGAAATCGGCAAAGGGAATAATGAAATGAAAGGAAATAAAAGAGATCGTGAGGGAGCAAATAATGACATGGATAGAAAAGAAGCAATCCGGCAGAAACAAATAATGAAATGAAATAAAACGAAAAGATAGACGGAATGAAATTTGGTAGGAGCAAATAATTAAATGGAAGCAAAGGAATGAGAAAATGTAGGAACAAATAAGGGAAATGAAGGAAAGTTGAATGAAATTAAGGAAAGGAAAGGAAAGGGTAAAGCAAATAATGAAAAATGGAAGCAAAGAAAATAACGAAATGAAAGGAAATAAAAGAGATTGTTCAGGACTAAATAATAAACTGGAGCGAAAGGAAGAGTTCGGACAGGAACAAATAATGAAATGGAAGTAAATGAATGAAAATAAATAGGAGCAAATAATGAAACGGAAGCAACGGAATGAAATCGGACAGAAACAAATAATGATATGGAATAAAAGAAAAAGGGTAGAACAAATAATGAAAATAAAGGAAAGGAAAGAGAAAGAGTAGGAGCAAATAATGAAATGGAAGCAAAGGAAAGAAAAGGGGTAGAATCAAAAAATGAAATGAAGGGAAAGGAAAACGTGATTATTTGATGGACACCTAAAAAAAGGAATGAAACATGTAGATAGAAATGGAGAGAAATACGTTTTAACGGAAAAAGATTGAAAGCGTAGAGGAGAACAAGAAATAAAATAAACTAAAATAATTCACTGAAAACCCTTTGAGTTCTTCATCTAGAAATGTTAAAATTGTTTTGTACCACGTTCACTCTCTTCTCAAATGAGCAATGGCAATAAAAAAAAGTTCATTGAGGCTTTAATTAATGCTGCCAACATTTGTAATCTGGCTTCTATCTTCAAATCAATTCAAGAACTTTGGAAACGGAATTTTGTACTGCTTAGGATTCGCTCTGGAATTTTCAATACGAACATTTCAGTGTTTGGGTGTCAATCTGAGCCCCTTGCAGGGGAATCGGAAAGAGTTCGATGCGTCTAATGGTGATGACGAAGGTACGACAAAAACTCACACTGATCGTTCTGATAAGAAAAGAACTCACGAATCTATTGGTGAGGAAATCAGACTCAACACGGGGGCCTACATTAAGTGCATTGAGAAGGAAGTGCTGCCCCTTGTCAAGAGGGTGACTGCTGGAAGACCCTATGTCTGGCTACATGTCTCAGCACCATGCCACTCAAGCAGGAGATCCCTATCAGGATTGTCAGACAATTTCTGCGACCACATCACCCCTTACATCTGACCACCTAACTCCCCAGACTGCAACCCCCTTGATTATTATGTGTGGGGGACAGTTGAGCAAGAGACCAACAAGACTCGTTGTAACACCAAAGATGAACTAAAATCAAGGATTATGGCAGGATTCTACTACTTAAAAAAGAAGATCGTCCAGAAGAGTTGCAGGAGATTCCGAAGTCATCTGTATGCCGTGGTTGAAACCAGTGGCGATTTTATTGAATAACTTCACTCTTTAATATGTAAACTTAGTTTTGTGCAATTTCGGTAAATATATCTGGTAAAATGAGATGTCAGTGTTTTCATTTTTGCGACAATTCATCCATCGCACCATATATATACACACATATATATATATATATATATATATATATGCACACACACACATATATATATATATATATATAGGTAAGAAGAATCCGTGGGTAGGTAATCCAAGTAGATCCTGTTAATATAAAATATTAAAACTGATCCACAAAAGAGAACTAAAGGTTGAATTTTTTGAAAATTTAAAAGAGAGTGCGTTTTTTTACTAATATGGTAATTGGAGAATTCTTTTGTTGTAGTAGTTTTTTTTCAGTCGATGTGGCATGTACTTAATTGTTCAATAAAGAGATCAATGTCGCAGCTATTATCCCAGAAGTTGCAGGTCGGATCAGTTCTTTTTAAATCAAATATATTCAACCTTAGTGTTGCCACAGCACGCTCCATAATAACTTACAGTTAACAATAACACATTTCAAAAAAAAATATTTCGATTCACATCTAATCTTTCGTGTAACGTTATTACCTGGATGGATTTAAAAAAAAAAAAACAAATCAATTTCCATGCCTAATGATATCTGTATGAACAGATTAAAGTACTTGCAAAAAAAAGACCTTATACAAGTTGAATTTATTAAACACAGGGATCACAACATTCATCTAGTTGTTCGTGGGTTAATGTAATTTTAATAAATTTGTTTGCGAAGATGTATTCTCGCCATTTATATCATTAACTTCACTAATCTATTTTTTGTATGAATGATTCATGTAATATATATATATATATGTTTCTTCTTTGTGTCTTTTTTTTTTCTTCACTCTTATTTCTAGCCTCCTCTTCCACTTTTCTGTGGATATACTTGATAAATAGGTCACCATGTCTAAAAAAAAACACACCTCCCTGTCATTATTATCTGTCTCTTTATTAAGATGGATGTGAATACGTGTATCTCTTTTCTTCTTTATCGCTTTTTTCCTCTCCTTTTTTTTTTTTGGTGCGGGGGGGGCGTCTTTTATATTCCACTCTCTCAATCCCCTTTTCCCTTTAGGGAGATATATCTCTCCTTCGACCCATCCTTCCACTAACCCCTCCTGCCACCAATTTAAACCTGCCTCCGCACATATCTGCTTTAGTTTAAAATAATACTCAATTCTTCTTATGCTTGGAATTTTTGTCATCCATTTATTTGTATGAAAATGTCGATTTTAGGAATTAGAATCGAATTTCGATTCTAAAGAAAATAAATTATAATCATGAAACCGTAAAGTTGTCTGTTTCTTAATATATATATATATATATATATATATATATATATATATATATATATATGAAGAAATATAGTCTTAATTGTGCTATATTTATGGGATAAAGTGCTCAATATCAGAGATAGAGCTTGTGTAAATATAAAAGTGAACATTGAAGTCAACACTTAGAGGCGACAGTCTGTTTCATGCTAGATGCAATCGTCAGGCCAAGAGTGCTGTTATTTTTATTGGCTATGTATATATACGGGTAAGTGGTGCATTGTGGGTAGTCTATTTTACCGGAAGTCGTTTATTTGTTTATTTATTTGGGTTAAATTATTTGGCTTGTTTTTATTTATTTATTTTTTTATTTCTTATATTTATATTTTTTATTTAATTTTTTTAAAATTTTTATTTTCATCGGTGTTTTTATTAACGGAGTAAAAATTTGTTTATATCGCTTATTATTAGCTTTGTTTTTATTTGGGAAGATAATTAAAGCTATTTATTCAATTTTGGGGTTGATTATTGAAAGGAGAAAATATACAGTATAACAAATAAATAATAACAAGTAAAATAAATTGACCTAAATTCATCCAAATAAATAAATAAACTAACAAACCGATCCCGATAAATTAACCGTTAGAAAAAAACAAATAAAGATAATGAATCCAAATAAATACATGAAGTAATAAACAAATTAAAAACTGTTCCCCCCAATAAAATAATAGTTAGAATAAACTACAATAATCAACCCCAAAATTGAATAAATATCTTTAATTATCTTCCCAAACGAAAACAAAACTATTAAATAAGCGATATAAACAAATTTTTACTCCGTTAATAAAAACACCGATTAAAATAAAATAAATAAATAAATAAGAAATAAAAATTTTTCTTAATCAATTTTCTACAGTCACCAAGAAATTTATTCGTGGACTTGAAAGGATTAAAACTAAAATAAATAGACAATACGTCTAAATTATTTAACTAAAGAGGCTTGAATGAAAATATGGTGCCTAAATATTATATATATATATATATATATATATATATATATATATATATATATATATCAAAATAAAAAGTGTCATTCATTCAGATTAATAACCCAGAGTTTATTTTTAAAAACAGTGCTCGATATACAGTAGAGCATTATATTATAATTATTATTTAAATACGTGTATACATCTCGACATATTTCGAAACCAAAACCTAAATCTTAAATTGAGCTTAAAATTTAAAGTTTAGATTCATCTACAAGCGATGTTGAACAACTTTCTAAACTTTTTTTCGAAAGTTATTCAGATTTGAAATGATGCTGTCAGTTTTACAATGAATTCAACCTTCAGAAATCGGAAAATGGTAAAATTATGCAAGAAATTGAAACCATTTTCTTCCACAGAGATTAGATACACTATCTACTCTATTCGTAATAGTAACAGTTGGCATCTACCATATCGAAAATAATCTCCCCGTTGCATTCAGTCAGGAGCTGACACAGCAAGTACTTGTTCTTATGTCGACGATCACAAAAAGTTAAAATCGTCTACTGCAGAGACCATCTTGTTCAGGAAAGGTAATATTTTTTTATTTCTTCGATCAAAATCCATACTTCCTGGTGCCAGCTCTCCACGCTTTCACCATTTTTATATTTCCGATTCCATAACGGAAGTAACTATTGAATAAATTATTTTGATTCTGTGTCAATTTCGCCAACGCTGTGCTTTTAACACACTTATATATATATATATATATATATATATATATATATATATATATATATATATGATATAAAAATTGGATGTCTAAAAACTATAGGTTGCTCCTGTAACATTCGACAGTGCTTGAAAATTAATTTTAACTTTTGTATTCTAACGTCTGAAATAAAATTAAAAATTAATAATATGAATTAAAATAGACGAAAAATATCTTATTGCGAGAATAAACAAACACACACACACACACACAATATATATATATATATATATATATATATATATATATATATATATATATATATATATATATATGTTTCATTAAAAACGACAGACAAAGGTACTACGGTTGAGCTTTTATTTTTAATTTTTCTTGTGTTCTGACAAGAGGTTTTTCTGGACAAAGAGTGTAAGAACTGTCCGAATGTTCTGTATTTCCGAGCGTTTTGGCTATATCTTTAGCCATTATCAAGGATGATTCAATTATCAGCTTAGTAGAGTGTGTGTGTTCTGTGTATGTTCAGTGCATGTTAGTGAAGAAATCTCTTGTCAGAACACAAGAAAAATTAAATAAAAAGCCCAACTGTAGTTTTTTTGTCTGTCGTTTTTAACGAAACATGCATAAAGGAAGGATTGCTATTTAATATTAAATATATATATATATATATATATATATATATATATATATATATATATATATATATTGAGTTTGTGATCCTGGATTTACGCTTTTGATCATCAGACAAACTCTGCTATATACACACCTCACACACACACACACGCACACACACACACACACACACACACACACACACACACACACACATATATATATATATATATATATATATATATATATATATATATATATAATAAAAAGGGTTAAACACTAATATTCCATGGTCATAATTTATTCCATTGGAATCGTAAATACGATCCAAGTCATCAGACCTACAAATTCAAAAAAAAAAAAAAACAGAAAAAACAACTCCGGGAATAAAAAATAAAATTTAGTGGGAGTGTAAGTATGAGAGTGTGGGATGAATATTAGAGCTATAGAGAGGGGTAACAGACGAGAGAAGAACAGGAGAAGAACAGAAAGGTCTAAAGGTGAAGGTGGGGGACTAAAATTTAACAGAGAGAAATTTTAAAGAGGATCGTATTTACGATTCCAATAGAATATTAGTGTTTAAGCCTTTTTATTATATCCTTACTCTGTCCTGGACATTGAGTTCTACCTGGATTCTATCCTCTTGGAATTATTTTTTTTATACAAATATATATGTATGTATGCATATATATTCATATATTTTGCATATGTATGTGTATATTTACCTCTAATATTATCTATCTATCTATCTATCTATCTATCTATTATTGTATTATCTTTATACGTTTTTTTTTATAGACACAAAGATTTAAGTAAATGTTTTGTTTATAACAGACAGTATTAACATTATTTACCGGTCTGAATGTCTGACATTCAGGCCGGCAAATGTAATTAATACTGTTTATTATAAAACAGAGCATTTACTTAAATATTTGTATCTATAAAAAGAATGTATAAACAAAAACAATATTAAAATTATTGTTGGACATTGTCCATTTCATAGCACTAACGAAATTCATAGAAGCAACTGAATTCTTTATTCTTTTGTAAACATTTTTTGCTTCAACATGTCAACTAAATAAAAATATACAAAATCATTTTTGTCATCCAATTTTTATATCATATAAGGTGCATACGAAGATATCTAATATCAATATGTAGGTACCAACACTGAAGTTTCGATACCTAAGCATTAAAATTAAATTTTAAAAATGAAAAAGTATTCTTGCAGATTTCGTTCTAATTTTAAAGCTAAATGATTAAATTTATTATTTCAAGAAAGTAAAATAGTCTGGTGTATTTCAGATAGAAATTATGTAGATTGGAATGTCAAATATTTGCTTAAAAGCGGCCATTTTCTTAATTTTTAAGAAATTTGTAAACAAACAAATGTGTCGGGTTTAAAATTTATCAGTTTTAAAAATCTTTAAAAATTAAATTATAAATTTTTGACACATTATTTGAGTAAAATTTGAAAATTTAAAGTTAAATTAATCTGATTTGAAATAAATATTACTTGTAGCATAAAAAAAAAACAATATAAAAGCATTTCTTAAGGATGGGTCCCTCTTTCTTTGATCTTTATTGATTCATGGAGAAGCACTTCAGGTGATGGCTGACCAGAAATGACATATTTACAAAAAACTAAGTGAACACTTTTTTTTTAGTTTTTAACTACCTAGTAATTTTTACAAATTAATATATTTTCAGCAATTATTTAATATTTTATTGACTTTTTGTTAAGTTTTTAAGAAGCTTTATGAAATTTATATTTTGTTTCTAGGTTTTTAAGTTTACTACCTTAAACAAAAAAATTAATTAATTGAACTATGACCCAAACTAAAATAAATACATAAAATAAAAATATGTAGTCAAATAGCAATTAAGAAAAGTAATTTGTTTTAATATTTTGAAGGGATGAGTTAAAAAGACATTAATGATGAAACAGAACTGAATTAAAAGTGAAATAATTGCAGTGCGTCAGACGACACTTAAATCACGTGACTTTTTTTTAAGGATTATGTCTGTATAGATTTCCATAGGTAGAAATTAGGAACGTTTTTTCACTAAAAATTATGTTTAAAATTATTTTAAATATATTCGGTTTCAAACGACTGTTATGTGCTTTTCAAATTTTGATTCGTAAATTTACTTTTCACTTAACTATATCATCAAATTGCATTTATAAAAGCAATGAAGAATTTTGAACGACTTTTGAAGTATTATATTATTATAATTAATTTTTTTTAAAAATGAAAAAAATCTTCTAAAAATTCATTATTCATTGAAAAAAAAATATTTCTTTAGACAATGGTGTCCTTAATATATCTTATTTACAAAAGCAATTAAAAGCTTTTCTAATTAAATAATGTCATAGTTTTATTTCATTTTTTATTTTACATTTCAGAGCATATTTCCGATGAAATAGGTAACAGTTTTACACAAAAAATGGCTGATTTACTTTCTCCAAAGGGTCCTCTTTTTAACTAATAAAAAAATCCCCCCACCTTAAAAATTTAATTTCTGGAAATTTCATGAAATTATATAAGTGGCTGGTAACATATGTAAAAAAATAGATTTTACCAAGATTCCTTAATAATAAAAATTTCAAAAATAATTTCATTTATTTCTGAATATGTCCTGAAAGTTTCATTAAAATCCGGCAATAATTTGATTTTTGCAAGAATTTCTAAATCAATGTGTTTTTATCGGGAAAAGTGCAAAATAAAAAAAAAACTTTTTCTCTAGATCACCGCTGTTGTAAAAGAAAAAAAAATTAACCAAAATTTCAAACGTGCTAGAAAGGAGTAAAAATTTAAAAAAATAATAAAAAATACTTTGGTCTTTCCTCTTAATAATAACATAAACATTTTGATGACAAAACTTTGTTTTTATTAAGTTTGGGGCCTTTTTCATCGTGTTTTTTTACGCGAACTAGTGGAGGTACACACTATATGTAAATATAGGATAAATATACCATGTGATTTACCTACTATAATACATTTTTTAATGGGTTTCACCCGAAGCAAGACAATAAAGTCCCTAAACACAAAGAGGTTACTTAGTGTGAAATAATTAGGAACAAAAACTTTAATAATGAGCGTGAATAGAAAAGAGTAACAGGTGGACAGTAGATAGCGATTGACATTGCATTTAAATTTTTGCAGATTAAAGTTGGCTGGAAAGCATGGAGCCGGACAGGAATTCCACAGTGGGATGCACTAGAAAAGAAACTGTTAGCATAGAACTTACGGCTCAACAACTGTAAATTGATGAGATTTTGACGCCAGCCTAGTACTAGGCTTAAATTTTAAAAAGTTTAAGTACCATAGCTAAGAGCGCGTCTGTACATTTACGATGCAAGTATTTATAGAAAAGGCACAGAGAGGCAACCTTATGGCGGTGGGAAAGTGACCGAAGCCGAAACACCAGATCAGGACCAATAATATTGCTGATTTTTTTATTTTATTTTATCAACGAGCTCAAGATGAATAGCAAGGGCACCGGACCATATGTGGCATCAATATTCTCAGCATGTCGGTGGGAAAGTGACGGAGATGACAGGTCAAGGCCTATAACATTACAGATTCTTCTTTGGATTTCATCAAGAACCCCTAAAGACATACTGAAAGCTCCGGGCAAGATGTGAGAACAGTATTCAATACCTGGTCCAGTGGTAGACTTATAAATTTGTAAGATAGATTTTATCATGAAAATTTGAATCAACTTTCCAATCAGCAGTCTTAGGAATTGATTCTGTTTAATCGTTCAATGCCTTGTCAGTGGATTGTAAGTCTACATATATAAGAATGTCATTATCGATGCGTTTATTTCAATTATACGAATATTGCCATTGTTTGAGAAAAAACAAATATTAATTTATTGAACGATGAGAGAAGAGCATTGGAAAGTGCGTAAAAGTTGAAAAGAGATCGCGGAAAGCACAAACCAAAAACTGAACAATGACAAGAAGAAGAAAAATAAAAACTGACTTTTATAATTACCCAAAGAGAAACTTGAGAAAAAGGTTATTAACTAATAAAATTAGATTTGAAGAATTTGGTATTGCGAATGCAAACGCTAAAGACGTAGAATATAAAGAACATTGGCTAAAGGCATGAAACAAACAAAACTACCACCTTTCATCATCATCATCATCATCATCTTTCGGCTTTCCTATGGTTGATCGGAACTCCATTGACAATTCCTTTCCACACTGTACGGTTCTGTATTGCTGACCCCAAATTCTCATTGTTCGACCCTGAGTCCTGAGCTATGGTGTCTGAGAAAGTCAATATTGGCGAGAAGGCACTTCCACAAGGATGCCATAGAAATAAGCATGAGACGATTTCTCTTGTCCGCTCAGTGCAATTTTTCGCGTAAAAAAAACTGATCCTAAAAACTCGCCGTATACACGAGTAATCACAGCAGCCAAATATTATAGATACATTTTGACAAAATAAATTCTTAAATGATTTTCATCTAAAATTTTATATTAAATCATTTGTCCGGGCTGTTTGATCGTCACACGTTGTGAATATGGCAATGAAGATGACGATAACAATCTGAATAAATTAAATGATGTAAGGAATCTGACCCCCTGTGTATAGTGCATCATCATCATCATCATCGTCGTCGTCATCATCCTTCCACCTCCCTGTGGTTGCTTGTAACTCCTTTGGCAATCCCTTTCCATACTGTCCGGTCCTATATTGTTGTCCCCAGATCCGCAATGTCCATCCCTAAGTCCCGAGCTAGGTTGTCTTGGAAAGTCAATTTTCTTGAGAAGACACTTCTAGAAGGATGCCATAGAACTAAGGATAAGACGACTTGCCTGCCTCTCGATGGCAGTGGCCGGCAAACTGTAATCGTTTTTGTTTGAGCTTAAGAGATATTGCTCTCATTTCTCAGTAAATTGTGTTAAGCTTTGCATGGGATCTCCATCAAGAAAACACCATAAATACAAACATGTATTTGTTAACTGTAATCTTAGTGATAAAAACATAGCTATATTGGTTGGATATGATGACTAGATTTAATGTTGTATCATCAATGGAAATCTCCAACCAATACAAATACGAAGACAGCTATGAGGAGGTGGCTTAATGTTTTGGATAAGTACTGTAGGCCGTACAATTATATATCCCTTTAAAATTCAATATGCTGCCAAGATAAACGCACAAATTTCTTTGACAAGTCAATCACGAATCTTTAAACTAAAGAGTATCTTCATACAGTGTGCTTTTCTGTTCTGGATATTGCCTCATTACAGAAGATGTTTCCCATGAGAACATCACCAGATATCAAAATTTCTAGTCGATCAATAAAAATGGTGCATATATGAAAATAGATATGACAATAGGTTGGTTCAAATAATGGCCTGAGCCTCCAATTCACTATGTAAATTTCACCTAACAAACGCCAAAGTTGAGTTTACAAATACATGAGGTTGAAACATCAGTTCCCGTACCATCAACGAAATTAAGCAATGTCGAGCTTGTTTAGTACCTAGATGGGTGACTGCTTCGGAATACCAGGGGCAGTAAGTTTGGATAGTCGGGTGATGTCATGGATAATGACTCAGAGCTGTTAATTGAAGTGCCGTGTTCCAATTCCCTTTGGGATCGTTATATTCACTTACGTGCATATAACCTTGAGAAAGATATGAGTCCACCTCTTCTTCCCTCAGCTATGGATTAATTAGTTAATAATTAAAACATCTCTGACTAAATCCTTATTATCTAAAAATATCTTACAATCTAAAAAGTA